GTGTGTGTGTGTGTGTGTGTGTGTGTGTGTGTGTGTGTGAAAGTAATGCTGTTGTTGACCGGCAGGGGTCAGACGGAACCTTAACAATCAGCTGCTACTTGTCAGATTACAACTCAGCCCACTAGAGGTGGTGTGCACCACAAGAAGAACAACAGCACAAATACAAGCAGCCCTCTCACTGAAGTGGTGGTGTGCTCACTGAGTTGTCACTCACTTCTGTTTCATTTAAACTCTTCATTAGTAAAAAGAGTTTAACTTGAAGTGAATGCTTGTTTCTGAAACTGTGATGTGGCAAAGCAAGACTGCATCGTGGCAGTGTGGTCACTGCTGTTTTCTACAACTTATTGCCTGTTTACTTCAGCTTTTATATCCATTCATTGTGACTGATTACACATTTACCTCGTTTAAACCTGGAAAACACACCTAACTCCATTCAGTCATTACGTGGGTACAGAGTTGCTTTCACGTGCAGTCAATTGAACACATTTAAATCTAATTACATTGCACTTGTCACCTAGGCAGTTTTGCTTCTGGCATTTGTAGAATAGTTTCCTGACATTAGCTAGTCTGATTTTACTGCCTATAGTTGCTCTTTATTTATTTTATTTTATTTATTTTTTGGTTCTTTACATTAGTAGAGTTAACAATTAATGCATTTAGCTTTTATCACATTTTGCAGAAAACGTTTTTTCTTTTTTACTTTTTTCATTTAGTCTTTCCTGGTATTTTAAACAGACTAAAAAAATCAGATTAAATAAAATGATTAATTACAATACTAAACATGCTAATACTATTTGTTTAAAAAATCATATAGAATACAGCAGCAAACAACTTTCTGCTAAATTACTATACAACAATATAATTGTTTTTAACAAAAAATGTCTCTCTTTAACCCCTTTTACAAAAACACTTTAACCCAGGCCTGAGTCGCCTTCTTACCTTTTCAGTGGGATTTCTGAAAGGATGGACATGGCACAGAGGTGTCGACGTAAGCCTGTCACTGTCACGCCTTTAAGGCACCACCTGTGGTAGTACCAGCACTGTAATGGTCAACATATGAAAGGGTGAAACAGCTTTGTGGCTTCAGGGCATGATGTAGTGATGGCAGACGATCTGTGCGACCAGCTGGCCGCAGGATTTAGAACGGGGAAATGTTGTGTTCCAGTTAAACACGGCTAAATTCTGCCCCACATCTTATTGGGTTCTGGGAAGATTCCTTCATTAACATAAAGTCGTATCTTTGTCGATGGCTCAGTAGATGATTTATAAACAAGCAGAGGTGGCTGAAAGAGGGAATCGTCTTTGCCTAATTGCATTTCTTATGGCAGAACTATTTTGTCAACGAGGCATTTATTTTACGCTGTTATTTACCTCAGAGGTCAGAACTCGGATCGGAGGGTATCATCAGATACAACTCGTTCCAGTTGCAAGTCAGAAAATCGGCAGGATGAGCTAATTGTTGCGCTTAGTGACCAGGCAAATTACCATTAGCAATACAAGCTGGTGACAATGGATTTCTCTGCTTTTAAACACTTCAGGAACACATCCACTGAAAATAACTGAACAGTACCATCTGTGTGACCGGATTACTGAGATATAAACTGACAGAAGTGAAAGTAAAACATGTCTTACTGCATCTGTCAAACCATTAATATTCTAGCAGATTCACTGCATTGTGGTAGCTGGTTTGACTGCATGTCGATATTGTAAAGCTGATGTATTTGAGCACACTTATCCATTTTCTTTGATTTACTGAACAATGTCCTTTAACTAAAAATGGGTTTTAGTGTTTTTATATTCTGTCAGTAAGTCAGCTCACTGAAATGGAAACACGTTGCTYTTTTTCATTCAGTTGTTTTCTTATGGGCAAATGTAGCTATTTATTTGGACATGGCTTTAAATATTTGTGACTACACTGTTGCTGCTTTTTTGTGTGACAAGCTTGTATACTCGGGTACAAAGCCTGTCTGCTGTTAAACAGTATAAACAGGAAATTTAGCAGCGTTCTACATGTTGTATAAATATGCTCCAGTCCTGCAAAGCGCAATCCCTAATGCAGATGTTCACACATGCTTGTTTACCATCTTTGATGAAAAGCTGAAACAGATTGCAGAAGGAAATTGTGCTGATTTGTTGCATTTTAAAAAAAAAAGCATAAATGGAAAATGACAGAACTTCTCTTTTGAGATGTTCTACTTGTTTCCATGAATACTCAGACTGGCTTGTAGATATTTGTCTATCGTTCTGCAGCCAATTGTCCTTAAAAAAGGCTTTAAAAATGTGTACTGCGACACAGTTGCATTCTGACTGCTGGGACCTGTAAATTTAAGAGCTTTCCCCTTTTGTGCTCTGTCCTCATTCTCTCCTCCACCRCTCATTCCACTCAGGGCTGTAAAATCATGTTTGCAGGCAGTGTGACTGCCCTTTCATCCTGTGAAAGGGTGTGTGTATGTGTGTGTGTTCTCTTGCACAGAGCAGCCATAAATAACACCCCCACCCAATGTAAGACCCCTTAGAAAAAAAAAAAGAAAAAAGCAAGCAAGGCAGATGTAGAAAATCGAGAAGCAACCAGAGATGAATAACAGGGCCAAATGGCTGATGATGGTGCTGAGCAATTAGGAAGCACAAATATCTGTCATTATTTTAGAAAAAAAATATCAGCCATTCAGCCTTTTAATCCGGCTTCCTGCCRTGTTAGGAGCAGGCATGTTGTGTTAGTGCATAGTAGCACATAGCAG